GAGTGAGGCTGGGCCGCATTGAGTATTCGATAAAAAGCGGTTGCACGGGAAATGAAGAGAGAGAATGAACAACACGCAACACACTTTCTTAATCTTTAATAACAGTTCAGAACATGAAAATGTATTTAGAACTTAAGTTTAAACTAATACGTCTACTCTTCTTCTTTTGCCTACTTCTTTCTGGTTGAAACCTGGCTACACTTCAGGAGGAAGCATATGAGATCCTCAGGATAGATTGAAGATGCTCATCAGTGAGCCTTGACCTGTAGTTTGATGGTGCTTTCACACACTTTCACACTGGTGTGAACGCGAACCCGGGTCCAAACCATAGACAGCAGGTCCAAACGAACTATTCAAAATGCATCATGGGAGAAACGCGTCTCCTTTGCCCGTAATGACACGCTGTACGACTCCAGCGCAGTACGTGCGAACGTTTGGCTCCAGAGTGAGTCAAAGTTGAGGGTGTGTACGTCTGTTCAGGACCTGCACAGAGGTCCCGGCGTTCCCCGTGATCATGTAGGAACCAGCATTTGTTATTTTAGGCTTTAATTGACCAAATAATTTCATGGCAATAGGCAATCGCCCATTCAATTGATTCACCTTTAAAAAATGTCCTGCTTTTAGCCTAGTGTGAGAAATACAGTCGGACTAGATCCAAACCAGAGTCCCGAAGATGCAGCTCCGTTTCAGGCCGGGCTCAGATGACGTGGAGCAGGGAGTGAAAAGCGCTTTCCCCGGGAAGAACCAAATGCGCGGAGGGCGGACACCAACTAAACTGGACTCACGCTTCTGTACGGATGCTTTGCACCACCTCGGAACCAGCCGCGGTTCTTGAGCGCGGAGGACCGGAGCAGCTCAAGATCTGTAGTCCACAGCGCATTCTCGCTTTCCCCGCACGGAACCAGCGCGCAGACGGCGGAACGTACCTGCTCAGACCCAGTCATTGACCAAGGACCAGACTCCAGCGCCGTCCTGAGGAGCTGCGCGATACTGTGAGCGCTGTTGGCTGCTGCTGTTACCCGAACTCTGGGCTGATGCGGTGAGTTTGTACAAAGTTCTATGTTGCTGTTTTATGAGTTCATGGTGATAAGATGAGGACGGCCCGCGGTATTAACAGGGAACATCAGTATTGGTTACTGGAGGTATCGTTGTTCTGCCGGGATACAGAGGCCCGTTAATCGGACCAGTTTTGGTTCGTTTGCCGGTGTGAAAGCACCACAGTGTATCTGCTTCTCGTATGTCAAACATGGATGTTAGACGCTTGTTTTTGCCTCGTACTTTTTGCTAACATGTCGCCAAGCCTCTGGAATAGATCACTGCAGTTTTGTGGTGCTTGCATATTGATGGGACAGCTGTGTGCCGCTGAGTGCGCGTGGATTTCGGCGACGCACAGGTGGAGTTTGGTCATCTGGTTGCCAGCAAGTTACGCACCGAGCGTTGAGCAGGTAAACAGACTGTCAAAGTCTTTTTATTTCTTATTAGCCCCTCCAATAATGGTCCCATACTTATGAACAGGAGAATTGTGTCAGCGCCTCCTCTGTGCTCTGATACTGTGGCTGTGGGAGCATAAAGTGAAGTGCGCACACGTGTACCACCATGTGTGGTTTGTTTTGGTTCTTCGGTGATGCCGTATGTGCACGTGTACTCGTATTAACAGATCCACTTAGTCTCGTTGCTTCACAACAGCTGTAAATTGAGTTTTGGGATGTAAGCTGCGTTAATAATCTGTTGTTGTGAATCTGCATGGGCACCGATTGCAGCTTCATCTGTCAGTGCGGCCCACGGTAGGGGGGTGGGATTGTGCGTACATCTATACCGCGGGCCACACTGACATTATTCTTTGGAATTAAGTGGCGGGCCGCAAAAAATCCTTCCGAGGGCCGCAGTTGGCCCCCAGGCCGCGAGTCTGAGACCCCTGCCTCTAAAGTGACCAAGCCCCCCTTTTTGTTTGGGAGTTTTGTACTCCAGGACTTTAACATCTCTATTGCTGCTTATTTTTGTTGTATTGTTGCATATTGAACTAGATAGTTCAATATGCAACAATACAACAACTGTTGTTACTGTTTTAAACAAGTGTACTTGGCTTGATCATAAATAATCTGCAGAGGTAAATATTGGGTATATTATTTAACTTCTTAGGTTCTTTTTAAAGACAATGCAGTAAAGTGTATTTACCTTGCTGCCTAAGAAAAGAACCTAAGAAGTTAAAGTATATAAGAAGACAAAATGAACATCATTGGCTTAATGGGTATATTATTGTTTGTTCATTCACTTTTCACTATGAATAAATGACACCAATCATACTTAAACTTCATTATCCAGTCTCTGGTGTATTTTTCTTACTGGTCTCCCACTTCCCAGAGAGCCGTGTCCTAATCTTCTGGTCCTAGTCGACAATCCAACTTACCCTTTTCTCCATCCCCTTTTCAAACCTGTATGTTTGTACCTGCATTTGTATTGTTATGTTGTGAATTGTATGTGCAGGTTTGAAATAAAATAAATAACTTTTTAAAAAAGGCATATGCCACAGACATGCTACACTTTCTTCTGTTTCCCCACACACCACGGACTGACCCTATGTCACCAGAGCAAAGAACACAGCTCACTATAAAGTTCACACACTTTGGCCTGATCTGTGGTGAAAATGACTATTAACTCATCAAGATAATACATCAATCATGTGTCAGTGTTGTACAACACCTGGACCCTTTTGTGTTTGTTTTATATTTGAGTTTTAATGTTGTAGTATGTGACTTTTCTGGTAGGTCATGATTTGTCTAGAATATTCCATGGTAAGGATTTAAAGTGAGCTTATTCTGCAAAATCTACTATTTTAACCATGTTGTAGTTGTTTCCCTTTTCATTTACCCTCTGAAGTTGTAATTAGAGTGATCTGTGTACAAAAGAACAAACTTGAAAACCTGAAAACCATGAATAGCCTCAAAGTATGTAACTTTTTAACCGAAAAATATACTAAATATTTAGTTCCCTCGCTGTCCCTCCCCTCCCTCCTCCATCCCTACCCCCTCTCTCTTTCTCAGCCATAAGTGAATCCATAGGTGAAATGTGTTTATATAATTACATTTAATTGTAATTACTATGGGTTACAATGATCTATTTTGACAATATGAAACACTTATTTGGGATATAAGTGTAGTTACCTATTTGTTAACTGTCTTTATCTTATCAATTGGAAATATAACTAAAGTTACATTATATAGGGATCTTTGTGTGAAGCTAATGAATCTAATTGCAATTTCACATGAGAATTTGGACATTAAAGCCTGTTTTGTAAATACAGGTTGGGTCTTTTTGACTTCATAGAAAAGTGATGTTTCCTGCCTTGGAGTCCAACGAGTTTGATGAGATGATCCATTGATGACGAGCCTCCCAGTTGAAATGTGAGCCTCTACCGCCCCATACGACGGATCCTGTGGTAAGATTGTGCACTCCTTTTATATTTTTCAAACTAAAAGCACATTTAACTACAATTGCTTGTGTCCATTGGTTATTCCTATAGAGGGATTAACCGACTACGTCACTTGGCTCTACTGCGCATGTCTCCTGCAGAAAGAGCCTGTGTCCTGTCTATCATGTCAGTGTCTTGTAGGATTTCAGCAGATTTTAGTCTTTCTCGGGGGCGGGGGCTAGTTGTATCAATCAGGTATGAGTGGATGTGCAGCTATTGAAGTTTGAGACATTTTCTCGTCATTTAATCACTCACCTGCATTTAACACATACGGGTCATGAAGATGTATCCCACTCACTGGTTTAATGTTAGTTTAGCATCATAACTTATGTTATCACATTATAACTGTTTTAGTGCTGACAACAGTGCTAGCAAACGTTGCAACAGACGGCAGTGCTTTCTTCACTCAGGCTGCGTGCACATCTCCTGCGTTAATAAACAAATAATCCGTCTATACTTTCATCTTCTACGAACCTAGAGGTCGAGACGTGTTCATAGTTTGAAGTGAGTTGCATGTACATATATTAGTTTAGTTAAAGCCTTATTTGACATCAGTCTCTTGCTGTTTTTGCTACATATGAATCTATTATTACTATTTATATATTTGCTCTTTATTATTGTAATGTGTTGTGATGTGTGAGCTAATACTGTGTCCAAATGATTTCCCTTGTGTCTAAGTCTAAGTCTAATGCAAAAAGGATTAAACCAGGGAACAAAACAAATAATAATAATACTATAATAATAAATAATAATAAATAATACAATTTAAAAGGAACTGTGTGCAACATTTTTATAAATGCAAGCTACATATTTATATCTATCTCTACAGAAAAAGAGAGAGAGACCTTTAGTTCAATAGTTTTATTAATTTTAGATGTTGCCAATAGCTTCAAGCTGAGAAGGAGAACTAAAACATCAAAATATTGTAGCCAACCTGCTGGCACACTGAGTACAGTTCACCTGGCGCCCCCTGGAGGCTGCTGTGATGCATGAGCTTCAGGACAGAAACAAGGAACACTTTTGTCCTGAGGGCTGTTATAAATCTCAAACTGCCCTGACACTGGGTCTGACGACTCTACAGCTGCACTGAGACTTTTGTTTGAGCTTTTCTGTTATTATTGTATTTTACTGCTCAGTGCGCTTAAACTGCCCCTCATGTACAAATAAAATCATATTGATTGATCACATATATGGTAATGGCAAGATAAATGGAAATATGAAGCAATTTTATATTTTTAATTCACAGCCTCAAAGTAGCCACCCTTTGCTTTGTTGACAGTGCTGCAAAGCCTTGGCCTTCTGTCAATGAGCTTCATGATGACGTCTCAAGAAATGGTTTCCACCTAACAGCTGCACCATGTAAAGGTCAAGAAATGCCAATAGTGTAAAACAGTGATCAAAGCAAAGGGTGGCTGTTTTTAAGTTCGGAGTTATTTAGTACATTCCTCATGTGTCATTCATAGTTTTGATGTCTTCATTGAGAATCGCGATTGTAAATAATCATGGAAATAAAGAAAAGAAAGTTTTTAAGTTAGCAAATCGAACAATTATTTTTGTGTTTTTTCTTCAATTCATTAATTTCCCCTTTGTGTCGATTTCTTGCCACTTCATTCATTTCAGCTTGTGTCTGCTTATCCTCGTTGTCCCATTTTGGTCTTGTGAGATCATCTATAGAAACGTACCGGTGTCGGTGTTCCATGTTGATGTTCATGTTTTCTCTCTCATGGCGTCGCTTTAGAGTTGATATTTCCTCATTATGCCTCTCCAATAAAGCATCAAAATCTCGAGTGTACTTTTCCTTAAACTCATTGAATCTTTCTGCCTCTTTTCGGGCCTCTTGTTCATATTTAAGCTTCATCTTTGCCAACTCTTCTTGATAACATTTGAATAGCTCCTGCATCTGTTTCTCCTCCAGCTTTTGGGGGATTTGATCTTCTTCGTTCTTCCTGCTGATTCTGGTTTCCTTAGGAGGCTGTATCGTTTGGGTTCTCTCCTGTTCAGTACTTCTCGTATTCTCATAGACTCGGTTCAACCACCAGTCTTCCTTGGCTCTCCCTTGGGCATTCTGCGGTTTTCTCAATGATTCCTGGCTTTTTAGTTTTGATTGTGACTTAAAGTTGCTTTTTACTTCAAACCTCTCAAGTCTTTGCTTCAACTGTTGTCTTGGGTTCTCCTCTTGTGCCTTTCTCTCTCTTTCTCTCTCCTCTCGTTGTTTTTGCTCAAAATTTCTCATCCTTTGTTCCTTGATGTCTTTGCTCTTCTTCAGGTCTTTCACCTTCCCCAGTTCTTTTTCCATTGCTTTGATTTTTTGTTTGTGTTTATACTGAAGCTCCTCCTCCTCCTTCTTTATCTCCTTCTCCTTCCCTCGCAGGAGTCTCTCCATCTCCTTCTTTATGGCCTGCTCTGCCTCTTGGAACATCTCTGTTGTGTAGTAGCTCCCTCCATTTTCCAACACCATTTTGTTGGCTTTTTTCATGAGTTGCCGAACCTGTGACCTATTGTTTTTCTCTTTATTGTTAAAGACCTGGAACCTCCCTCCGCACTCTTGAATAATTTCCTTTAATCTTTGATCTCCCTCAATGTAATTTTCAATGGACATTTCCTCGAGGGCATCTCCTTTAGTGAAGAGAATGATGATAAAGGGACTTGATTTTTTGCCAAAGTACGTTTTGATCAGATCCACTGAGTCACTCTCTTCTTTTGTGAATCGACCGATCTGTAGCACCAGTAAGAAGACATGTGGTCCAGGAGCCAGCAATGTGACGCATTTTACAAGCTCCTCTTGCAGCTCCTCATTGGACAAAGATGTATCAAATAAACCAGGAGTGTCAACAACAGCGACCCTCTGTCCATCAACATCACCCTCATCTTTCATGCAGATTCTGGTGACAGATTGAGGGTGGGCGTAAGATTTGAAACACTCTCGGCCCAAAATTGTGTTGGCAGTGGCACTTTTTCCATTGCCAGTTTTCCCAAAGAGCACAATCCTCAGACACTCCTGTGGCAGGTGTGGCTCCACATCTCTATGCATCACCACAGTCTGACCTGTGCCTTGGTCTTTAGAGGGGTGAGGGTTCAAATGACCTACATTGCTCTCTTTCAGCATGTTACTGATTTTTGAAAACAGCTCTTCAACTTTCAGATTCAGATCAGTTAGATACATGTTATCCATCCACATATATCTGTTCTTACATTTGGTGATCAAGTCTTTTATATGTGGCTCCCTCATGTATTTCTCCATGGAGTCTGGTGTCACTGCTTGTGTACTGGACATCAGCACCAGTGAATGCTGGAAGTCCTGCTCACCAAGGTTCTCCAGGACTGACTCTAGTCTGTGTTTGTGTTTATCAGTGAAGGCTTCAGGCTGTACAAACAGCAGGAACACATGAGGACCAAGGCCACTCAGATCTTTAATGTCTTGTATTAACCGATTGAGTCCTTGTGAGACAGTGGAGAGCAGCTGGTCTTGAGTGTAGATCACAGTCACCGGATTGTCATTAAATCTTCCTCTGCCTTCTACACATTTATTATGTTGACTGAACTCTGTTTTTCCCAAAAGGAAGTTTCCCACTGAGGCCTTCAGACGTGGACTTTCCCCCAGAAGAATCAGCTTCAGCTCAGACACTGGAATGAAAAGATTTTTTACATTTATGAGAATTATGTTGATTCAATGTGTGGTTTGTTCTTTTTTTAAGTTTTGAATCCTAATCCAAACAGTTTTGCTGATAATCAGTATTTCAGCTTCTGAACGACAGTGGGACATAGAAACTGTAGAACTCTAGGAGAAACAGTGTTCTCTATGTCCCTCTATTAGGCTACTCTATCCATCATGCACAGGAACTACCTTGGCAATACATCCGAAGAGCTTTTAACCACTTTGGACGCAATCATGTCAAAGTTGTGCTTGGAGAATGTGGGCAGGTGTGCACCCAATGGCCCTCAACATATGTACGGCAGAATTTAATGCGAATATCTGGTATATGACCCAAACAACTTTCTTCGGGATTTATTAGAAATGACACTAGCACAGGGGTGTCCAAACTTTTTTCATCAAGGGCCACATATCTAAAAACACACAAAGCAGAGGGCCGATCGAGGGCCGTAGACTGATGCTCAGTACAGTGAATAATTGAAATATGTGCAGGTTTAACACGTTAGAATGAGCCATCAGTCTTTATTCATGCTAAGATCCTTAAAACCACACACTAAATATTTAATATTGGCTTTATCAAGGTAGACTTTCAAAAAACTTGCAGAAAAAAAAAAAATGTAATTAATGCAAGGTAATTTTGGGCCAATTTACCTCGACGTCTGAGGGCCAAGAAAAATTAGTCTGAGGGCCGCATTTGGCCCCCGGGCCATAGTTTGGACATGCCTGCACTCACACATGGTGCACAGAAATTATCAAAGCACCCACACAGAAGTACAAATCTGTTCTGGTTCGTTATATCATGTTTAGACTAGGGACGGGCATTCGATGAAATTTTCTTAATCGATCGTTGGAAGAATTAATGATCGATTATCGATTAATCATTAACGTTTTTATATTAAAATGATCATCATTATTATTATTATCTGCACTACTAATCTGCATAAATAAATTCAATTTTACTAACTAGACATATAAACCGTAACGACTCTAGAGCCACATCAATCCGTTTGACATTATAATGTGTTTAATTCAGTTTTGTGCAACTCTCACAGAAACAAAACTTAAAACCGCATCACTAATTTGCATAAACTAAGTGAAGATAAAACTACAGCTCTTGTGTTGCTGATGCGGTCATTTTCTGTCAGATTAAAAGACATGACTCAGTGGAATACAGGTTAGTGTGACCAGATTTGCGTTTGTCAAAACCAGGACACTGTACGGGGGGAGGGAGGTGGGGACTTGTCATTGACATTACGCGACTCTCACCTGGTAAAACTTTTTCCCACTGGACACCGAAACATATGTGTAAGGCATCTAACAGCACTCACCACTCAGACTCATCTGAACTCGACCTGAACCAGAGCTGCTCTCTGCTGGTTCAGTTTTTCAGGCGTTAGGGTTTGGATGTAGTCTGACTGTAGATCAGTTCTCACACATGTCACATGTAGGACTAGCAATTATAGTGATTTCTGCTGTCATTTTTGCTATTTTTGACATTGTTGTAACGGTGAGGCTGTATATAAAACTGAACGGCTTATGACTAGGGCCTGAGTAATATGGATTTTTTTTATTTTATATGATACAGTTAAAATGGGCTTTGAAGGTGCTTATAGCTCGTGTTTTTAGTGATGGAAAAATTTGCTGTCTTCAAGTGATTATAAAACTTATGTCTGGCTCTAATAGATTTTAAATTGGATTTATTTAGTCTACATTTACTGTTCTTTTGCCTTCTTTTTTTATGGTATAATGGCATTTTTGCATGACATTGTAGCCTGTAGCTTGTAGTGGGACAGTCCTCTGTCTGTGGGACAGTCCTCTCCCAGTCCACTCGCACTTTTATAAAAATAAGCAGTAGTTCTATTGCTGGCCTAAATTTCGCTTAAGTTGACTTTTATTTATAGTTCGTATCCTCGATCAAACGCACTTTAAAGCCAGCGCCTCAGTGCTCATGTAGGCGTAGTTGAGAGGTATGGTGTTGTATGGTATTGGTCACAGATTTTTTATTTTTAATTTTTTTTTGGTTGAAATGTCAGAAATGTTTATTTGTAAATTTTTAGTTGTTTTGAGTCATTTTGAATTTGGACAAAATGAACCATACACAAATGGATCAATATCACTTAGAATGAACTACTTAATAGTTGTACGTGTAGTACTGTTCTTCCCAGTACTACACGTACGTACAACATTGTAAAAACTTACTGGATGGTTTAAATTCCTTGCTTCTCCTTTGTGCATATGAATAGAGATCTGTAAAAGTACACAAGCACATTAAGTACAGAAGATTACAAGCAGATGTAAAAGACACATCTAAAAGGACATTTGAATCTGACTAAGCCAGAGATATAGAAAGCTTCCTGACCTTCACCTGACCAAAATACCAGCCAAATTTGACATGAGCTTTTTGCATTTACAGATGAAATGACTTTGTGTCACCATCTCTTTTCTTTGTATGTTTATGGTTTGGATGAGGTCATGCACTGTCTGTGGCATCAGAGTTTTTACGACATGGGAAAGACTTTAGGACATGTGACAGTCATGGGGGAGTCAGGGTCAAAGTGTTGCAGATGTAGAGTTGATATTTTATTACTACATTACTACTGTCATTATCTCATCTGCCCATGTGGGTTATTTTAAAGCATTTAAATATCTGTATCAACTGCCCTATTGGTGCCCAGATTTCAGTAGGTATCCTGTGTAAAAAAAGTACACCTGTCTCTCCAGCGCACGATATTATCAGACAGTTGACAGTTGTTATAAATGTGGCTGCACTCACTTCCTTTGCATATCCTCCACCTCAGATTTTGCACATCTTGGTGAAAATGAGCTGTTTTACAGATTCATTCACTCATAGGAGCAAAATTGTTCTGCATCTTCTTAGAGTCTCTATGAGAAACTGAAATTTTAGTGATTTCAACTCACCGGATCTTGCAGCAGCCATATTGTTTTTCAGTGGGAAGGGTCACACTTTGGAACTGTTGAAAAGAAAAAGCACATTACTCATATGTCTCATATTGCACAAAACATTTAAAGGGCTCATATTACACTATTTTCTGCTCTATGTTATAATGTTTCCTCATCCTAGAGTTCTGTTTTCTTGTGTCTTGAAATGGTATGCCATGTAGCTGTACATAGAAAGGTGATGTTGTAAATGGTAACAATAAAATCCATGAATTTTGACCTTCATCTTAAGACTTTATTGGACTTTAGGATTGTCCTAATGTTTCTTCCAGTAAGGAATTTGGGTAGTTCATTTTCCTGTAATCATAAAATCATAAATCAGACCTTTGCTTTATATTTCTCACATGAAACCATTAAATAAAACAGATCACAAATACAAAAAATACACCTACAGTGAACATAATGGACAATTCTGGACTGAATAGAGATTAGAATACATCAAATACAGAAAGTGCATTTTGTGGTTAATTTGGAAGAATATAATAAAAAGTACAACATTCTGAATACATTTCTGACTTCTCAATCAGACCACATAAAACACTTTGCATTAAAGCTGCACTGTGTAACTTTTCTAGTGGCAAACTATTGACAGTAAGTTGGGTCACCTAAAAAGACACAGAAATCCTTCAACACAATATTCACAGCAAACAGCTGTACCAGTGTGTCTATAATTCAGACTGGTGCAGCGTGGCCCTGAGTTTGACATGAGGCCGTCTCATGCTCATAATGTTCTCACAGTCATTAAGACAACAGATGAATCTGTGCATCAAACAGACAGAGCATCTTGGCCTTTTCAGTAGTCCTCACACAGTCATTATACACACACACAAACACACACACACACACACACACACACACACACACACTGAGTTTATGTGTGCTTGCTCTATGTCAGTTTAATTTAGTTCATTAATCAGGGATAAAGCACACAAAAACCTGAAATCCCTGGACAGGTTGATGTAAAAAAATAGCAATGTTGAGTACAAATGTAGCAGGCTAATACAATCATCCAGTCAATCAATGAGTAATAAATAAGTCTTCATATATTATTCATCTAAAACCACTGGATAGTGTTTTCTTACCTTTTACCTTTACACTCGCTGGACCAGACCAAACTCCACTGAAATAAGTCAAGGCACACTTTTTAAGCAGCCCAGAAGAGGTGTGGCTAACATCAAATATCTTTATGATGAGTGGAACTGGCATCTCTTCACTGTGGGTTTGCAGTGTCATGTTGAGGGTGTATTATTCCATCACTACGAATAATAATCATAAATTGGTTTTATACACAGCACTTTTTACAGTAACTCAAAAACACTTAACATAGTAGAACAATAAATAAATACAAGACAACTAGAAGTAATAAGAAGTAAAATGAATGGTTTCTGACAGTGGTAACGGAAGTACTCAAACAATAATAAAAAAATATATATAGTAGACTGAAAAGTATGAAAGTAGAAAGTACCTGCACTTAAATGTAGTGAAGTAAAAAGTATCCACTGTAAAAAGTAAGTTAAGCACAGCTACTAAACATGTGTCTTCACTACTTCTCCTTTGTTATGTTTAATGTGGAGGGAAGGGAGTTCAGGAGGGTCCCCCAAGGTTCTGTATTTGAGCCGATGGTTGGTGGTTCAAATCCCACTCGCAGCATAAACATCGTTGCTAGAGCCTTAAAAGTGGAAAAGCACCAAATAAAAATATGACCATAAGAAAAATACGAGTTTGGAGCTTTGTTTGTTGATTGTGATAAATGCTGTTTCTCAGTCCTCTGTGTTGCTGTGTTTTTCTTTTATTACTTTTTCATTGTTGTTGTTTTGACATGAAATGACCACGTGTCTCTTTGATTGGTTAATCTGCCTGTCAGTCACATCCTTTGTAAACAGGGAGACAGGATAGACTTGTTAAAGCAGAACTAAGTAACTTGAGGGTAGTGCTTCCCCAACAGGTCGCTAGTGAAAATGCATTGTCATGAATACTGTTTCCACCTCCCTCACATTTGAACACTGTACGACTGTACAACAAAATATCTAAGATGGGTAATGTTACTTTACTCTTTAAATAAATAATAGCTTTGTAAATTCCCCTTGAAATTCCAAACGGGTTGATCCAACACAAATGTGTAACTGTTAAATGCCTTGGGCTGATTTTACATCTGGGCTAAAGTTGTTGTTGCTCCATTTACAGACGGACTGACAATACTGACATCAAAGACACGTCCGACTGCTAAAACATAGAACATTACTACTACATACAGATGAAACATCAGTCTGTCAATTACAGAAGTGACTCCGACGTGACGCTTTGATCACATGCAAATGCGTGATCCTGTTTGATGCTGGTGCGATGTTAGCCACAGTCACATATCACGTCAGGGCTAAATCTAAAAAATTGCACTTGTTTTTGCTCACTGACAACACAAGAGATTAGATTAGCAGATTAGACATGAGTCGCTCAAATCAAACGATTTATACAAACATGTATCAATCTAATGGTACAGTTTCATAGCTACACTGAAAAACGAAGCATGCAAATAACAGCATGAACAAGATAACTGTGTACTATAGCTAACAATTACTCAAACTGCATAACTTTAACAATCATACAAGCAATGTATATGAAACTTGCATGCTCAATAACAATATCGTCAGATCTGCATTGCTCTTGCGCCCTTCTCTTTCCTTGAACTCTGTTATTCCTCAAACACTTTCCCCGGATTGACTCCTGTGAGGTCAGGCCCTGTCCCATTCATGTTTTCTTTTCCTTGCGTCCTTGGACAAAGGCTTCCGCTGTCTTTTAGCTGGATGTGCCATGACTGACACCTCACAAATAAACAGTAGATATTTATTCTTGCAGTGATGTGGGTGTGTCATAGTTTGGTTACCCGTGTGTATGTTGAAGTGCCATAAAGCAATTTGAATCTCACGAGAACTTGAACAGACCTTTGAGAACTGACGCGGGTCGGTGGCAGCAAAGTTGCATGTCTGGTTTTTCCGCCCAGAGACAGCTGGCGGTGCCAGTATACCCTTTAAACATCCCTAAATGTCATATGGAACCATCAGAGGGTCTTTGAAAGACATTAATTAAGGTAAAAATGTTACTTAGTTCTGCTTTAATATGTTTTGTCTGATAGGTAAATAGTGCACAGAGAGCCAGTGGAGTTTTAGGTTGGAGTGGAGAGTTCTGAACTGTTCTGGAGAGTTGGAGAGTTCTGAACATATTGACGTTTTTATTGGAGGTCAGTAGAGGGAAGTCCGCAGAGGAGGCTAATGCAATTGTTGAGTCTGGATGTGATGATGCCGTGGAGGAGATTTTCAGGAAGCGAGAGGGGGCGGAAGTTGGTGATGTTATGGAAGTGAAAGAAAGCAGTCTTGGTGATGTGGAGTTTGAAGGAGAATGAAATTCTGTGTGGAGGGGGGAGGGAGATTTACCGGACTGGCTATCATAATTTCAGATTTATTGCAGTTAAGTGTGAGGATATTGGAGGTCATGCAGGATTTTATGGCAGAGAGGCAGTTTTAGAGCTGAGATAGTAGGGCTGATGATTTTAATGGAAAAGTTACAGAGTGTCTTTGGTGTAGCAATGAAATCTGAGTGGGCGGATGATGTGACCAAGTGAAAAGAATGTAGAGAATAAACAGAAGAAGACCTAGCACTGAGCCTTGAGGGACTCCGTGGATGAGCAGTTGTTTATGCTGACATAGTGAGATAGGTGAACCAGGAGAGAACTGAGCCACTCATGCAAATGGAATGGAGATAGTGGAGGATGCAGAGAAGAGCAGGGGGTCATTGGGCTGTTTCGGTGCTATAGTGGATGCTGAGGCCGGATTGTTATGTTTTATATTGCTAATTTGAGTGAAGCCAATTTTGAAGCTGAAGTTGAATGACAAATAACAAAATTTTGATTTTTGGGGGGTAGAGCTGAGTGTCATTCAGAATTTGCTGATACGATACACACCTCGATACATAGGCCACAATAAGATACATATCTGAATGGAGTGAGCTTTCGATTTGATACAGTTCAGTGTGATATATTTCAAATCGATTCAATACAGTTTAATAAAAAATAAAGGCTAAATCATGGCTGTGATACTAAAAGTCTTCTTGCGCAATGTAAATATGAAATACATCCATTTTAATCATCAAAACAAGTTCCTTCCTTTAAACAAACAACACTGTAGTACTGTAGCAGACTTATTTAGTAAAATATAAAAAAAATACTCTTGGTGATATCAATACAGCAGTCCACGATATTAATACTGCATCTTCACATTTATATTTGCACACCACTATTGGGGGGTTAAAATCACTTAAACTCTAGTAACTCTAATATTTTGGGGCATTTCATTCATAGGATGCTGGTATGCATCCGCTGCATTATCACCAAAATGTTTTGAACTTTCTATGTTATAACATTGCTCCCTCATTAAAAACATTTCTGAAGAGGTTTTAGATCAAGTCAAGTATTTTAACAGTTTATCCCGGGCCCAATTTAAACTTTCTTTTATGGTTACCTGAACATTTCTGTCCAATGCTTCACCTACAAACCTACACCATCCATGCTACCATATGACAATTCTCCATTAATATACAAAACCATAAAACGAAACAGTACACAGCAACTTGACAAACCTGATGTGATGTGCAGTAGTTTCGTTGGCAGTATGCACACTGATAATGTTGTGATAGCGCTCTGAAGGGGGAGCAGCAATCAAAAGGGAGAATGGATACAGCTCCAGACCTACTCGTCTTTGTTAAGTTTGGTCTGGACAGTTAAGTGTTGTACAGGGAGTGATTTGGTAGCGTGAGCGAGTGTGTAGAGTTCTAAACATATTGAAGCTTTTATTAATGGGCAGTAGAGGCAGGTCCATAGAGAAGGCTGCTGCAATAGTCGAGTCTGGATGCGATGAAGATGTGGCACTCTGAAGGGGGAGTGACTTAGCACAGAGAGCAAAGGGAAGAGAGTCTCAGAGCAATGAAAAC